AATGCGAAGCTCCTCTCTCTCTCTCTCTCTCTCTCTCTCTCTTTCTCTCCTCCTCCTGCACGCATGCACGAGAAGAGAATCTGCGTCTCACACAAGATGCGACGATAATCGCATGCGACTCAAACGAAACGGAAACTTTGCTTACGATAGTGTTAATGTAATCGAAGGGATCGAAATCCTGTTGCTCCTCGTCCGCGTTCGGCGGAGGGCACGGGTAAAAAGCTTGCGAAGGCCTGAACGGGGGCCAGGGAGGAGAAAAAAAAAAAAAAAAAAAGAAAGAAAATATCCCAATTAGAGAGGAAAGAGAAATATTTTTCGCGTTGAAAAATTTGAAAAACTTTTGCCAAAACTTTCTCGCGAAAGGAAAGAACGGGTGTACCTGTGCGGCCTGTTTCGACGATTCGCCATCAGCCTGCTGAATTCCTNCATTCCCTGTCCACTTCCTCCTCGCCACCGTCCGGATGGTAGTGAAGGGCCTCCTCCAGGAGTTCCTTCTTGGTCGCTTGACTCGCCATTGTTCGACTTGGTTGCTTGGGAACTTGGCGGTTAATTCAGAGAACTTGCTATCGTCTATCGTCGCGGCTCGATAATGCTATCAGTCGCTATAAATTCCTGTCGCTCAAAATGCGGCTTCGAGCATGGGATTCCTCGATGTTGAAGGATTACGTAATAACCGCGGAATGGAAATTGCGAAGATCATCCTCGAATCGCGGTTCCCCTTTCGATTTTTCTCTTCTTAAAAACGGCAGGATTCCGGACCGTCGATCGATAACGGAGAGCGTTCGCGCCAAGGAATCATCGTATCCCTCTCCTCTCCTGTTGGACAGATATTCGTCGAAAGGACGCGAAAAGAAGAACGGTGACCGGACAGCCACCGTCGTCCATAGAGGATCTTCGATCGATATTTCGTTGGAATGGAGAGATAAGTTGAGTTTCTCCTCTCTCTCTCTCTCTCTCTCTCCCTTCTTTTGGAGAAATGCTTTCTCCAGAATATGTATTGACACTGACACTGACACTGCGCGGGGAGGATTGGGAAAAATTGGGGAAAAAAACCGCGTTGAAAGCAATTGAATCCGTAGGCCGGACCGTCGCACACGAAGCAAATGAGTCACACTGACAATGAGAAGAGAGAAGCACCGTGCGGACCTGAGATGGGAGGGCCTGAGCTGGTGGTCCAATTTACAGACTCATTAGCCTCGCTCCGACTGTTGTCGACGTCGTCGCTCGCGATTGTCCCCCGCGATATATCGCCGCTGTCTATTGCCGCGGACACCTCTGCGAGTGTTGCTACGGGGACACTCGCGATCGCCATTTTTATGCACTCGCTTCGAAATTCGTTCCAACCATCGTGTCCACAGATTAAACGTGTAGAGAGAGAGAGAGAGAGAGAGAAAGATTCTTATTCGAAATTCGTGTGTTTCGAAAGCGAGCTTTCTTCGTTCCTTCGCTCCCCTCCCTTTTTTTTTTATCTCCATGATCCATCGATCTATCGAGCTCTAAAAAAACGAAATTGAACGGAGATGTGACAACAATTCGA